GTTCTTTATAGTTTTAAGTATCTATACAAATCCTTTCTGGAATTATGTTCCTATTAAAATAAAGAGCTAGGAATTATGTCCTCTAGGGGACGTGGACGTAAATTTTATATGCTAAATACTTTAGGGACCCATCTTTACTTATTACCTTCAGGGTCAAATTACTGTCAGGAATACTTCCCACAAGGAAAAACCTTCATGAATTGTACCCTAAACAATATCCAAACCCTTATTGTCCTAGGTGTGGCCTCCACACTGAGGATATTCAACATATCTTTAAGTACCCATTAGTAGCAAAAAACATCAAGCAAATTATCTCCAATATCAATATTATCTTCTATCCAGAAGATGATTACAAAACGATCTCGCATGCATAGCAACTAGTAGAGTTGGTGTGTGGCATTACAAACAATATTTTCTCTACATCAAATCAATTCAATTGGATCAAAGTATCAACTGAGACCCTAATACAACTCTACAAACTAATCTGGATACTCTGATGCAGTATAGCCAATACCTTTTCTACTACCAGCATCAAATGGAACAAGAATTATCACAACACCTTAACAAAAAAGAAAAACAATCAGAATACCAGCAAACCTAATACATCTAAAAACTCCTTCTCTACCACCCTCAAAGATTCAACTATTATCGATTTACCAACTGTAATAGCAAACTTTTATATCCAAAGTAAATATAACTTCTCCAAATGTATTTCTAAACTAATAACCAATTACTCTAACTTCCTTTCACAAAATGCTGAATAGGTATTCATAGCTGCTCAGAGCCACTTGATAAGATGTATTGTTTTAAAATTTATTTTCAGTACTAGTTAAGCGGTTACTGTAGGCAAGCTAGCATTTAACTCATTGTCTTGTTACACATGAGAGATGTTGTTTCTTTCACAATGTATATAATCATTATACAAATAAATAAAGAGATGATGTTTACCTACAAAAAAAAAAAAAAAGAGTGCTAATAGTATATGATTTTTATTAAGTGATTTATATCCAATTATATAACTACAAGGTCCATTTAAATTAACCTGCACTTCCACCTATAGTCTTATCCAGTTATATTGATTTATCCACTGTTGAAGTGGATCCGCATACCAGGTGGGATCTTTAAGAGATAGAAATCCTATCACTAGTTTTAAACTATCTAATTTAATCTATCATTTAGAGTGTGTACTTTTCAGGATTGGTTAGAATATCCAGATAACCCATTTAATACTTTTCGTTTGGTTTTTTGAAGAAGGTACTGTACTTCTTATTACTATCTATGGTTTTTAATTTTTCTTGTAGAAATCATCTTCTTTTAAACAAGCACCGGATTGGGATAGCCCTAGGCTAGAGTATTCTTTGTGCTACAGAATCTGCTGTGCCAGGAGGGTTTGTGGACTTTTTATTGAAGTTAGACCAGAAGCCTTTTCTTATGCAACCTTCTCTGCTTTCAGCTTGTGATCATCAGAAAGATCAGAGGTCCTATTTTTATTAAGCCTAATTAAATTTGATCAGGATTCAGATGTTTGGAGTATGATATTTGTAGAAAAACCGGTAAACCCACAAATAAAAAATAAATTTTATGTGTTTTGCTTCCTGTGAATATTGAACTAAAAACATGTATTTGAAGACCAAGAAGTACTATCCACTGTGCTATTGATCCACTGGTCTTATAATTTATATATTTAAGCTTATAAAAAATCAATATTTTAATAGATCTCAAAGTATTGATTGGGATATATCAATTTAGAGTTTGCTTTTTATTAATATTGTATTATAGAATCTATTATATCAATAAGAATGTGAGCTTTTATAAAAGTTAAACTAGAAGCTTTTTCTTATATAACCTTTCTGTTTTAATTTGTTTTTCAATTTATAATTATCAGAAAAATTAAAGATCTTATCTTTATATAACTTAATTAAATTTTATTTGAAAAAACTGAAAAATTCACAAATAAAAAATAAATTTTTATATGTTTTATCTCCTGTAATTATTGAATTAAAGACATGTATTTGGAGATTTTAAAGTATTACTCACTGTATTATTAACTCACTGATCTAAATTTCTATTATAATTATTATTATTAATAAATAACAATATTATCCCTTAATCTGTAGACCTATTTTTGACAAATTTTGATACTTATTTTTGTAATACATTTTTGAAAAGAATATTATTATATTATTTGTACTTTGACCATTAAGAAAAAAAATTAATCTTGTTCTAAAGATTTAAATGAGCTAAAATACATAATGAAAGAATGCATGATTAAAGAGTAACATATATCAAGAGATATAAAATGATTTTGTTGACAAATAAAATTGTAGGCAAATTTGCCTACAATACAGTTTAAAGGATAAGCAACTAAAACTTGATCAATATAAATATAAGTAAAATATTTTTATTACAAGTATAAATAAAAATTAGAAAATTATACTTTGTAATCTAACAATCAAAATTAATATTTTTTTATTATTTCTTAATTATTAAAAATAACCTAAATAAATATATTTAATTTATATTTTATAAAAAAAATTATTAATACAAAAATTATATATCTTAACTTCAAAAATAATATATCTTATTGTTTTTCTTTTCTATAAAATATATCTTATTTGATATTATATATTTAAAAAACATAAAATAATTTTATAATTTTTTTTTTTACTATTTTTTTGTTTTTTTACTTATTTATACAAATAATTATGAAAAATTATATTTTAAAGATTAATTTAAATAATAAATGATTTTTTATTACTAAAATATGATTTATCAGAATTAATATAAAGTTGGGCAAAATTAAGATGGCTGATGAAATTAATATAAAGTTGGCAAAATTAAGATGATTGATCATAAAGTCAGGCAAATGAAGATAGTTGACCGAAATTAACATGAAGCCGGGCAAAATTATGCATTGATTTGGCGAAATATACTGTATATACTGTATACTATATTCTCCTTAAATGTACACCTTCTCTAAATACACTCTTGCTCTTGATCCTAAGGGAGTACATTTAAGGAAGGTTCTCTGTATATCATTTTGTTTTGTTATCATGTTTCCCGGAACTCACGCAGGATCTCACTTTATTATTGCAAAACATATACTGTATATGATACATTTCTGCTTTTTAAATGAACTTTTCTTTTTCTTCCCTAAACTTCCCATATCTTTATATTACCCGACTATTTATCTTCTAACCACTTTTTTGGCATCGGTTAAGTATGTTTATCATTGAAAATACATATAAAAATATTATTTTCATCCCCCTTATCCCAATTCCACCATCCAAAATAATCCTAGCGAAGCATGTAATCCATTGTCTGTCCATTCTTCCGAATTTTTAACCGTTTCACCATCAGTTATCTGAAGGACAAATATTTTGGGTTCGACTATAATGTGAAATATTTATAGTAATCATCCAAGTTATAAAAGTCCTCTCCAAAAAAATATTACCGGATAGTCCTATATAAATAGATAGGTGTTCACGCAGATAAAATTATTATATGATTTAAACGCGACAATATTTTTATACCTGATGGCCAAACCCATATTTCAACCTGCTAGTTAGATCATAGTGCCTCAGCTATTAGAGTATATAGTCACCATTACCAGCTATTAAAATAAAGGCAACTGGATCTTTTTCTTTAATGGCATTCATTCTCGTAACTACAAGGGAAGTGAAATTTGCAATATTTCGATAATAGACGATCACTTTGAAACCTTTCTTTAGAGCCCCTGACCATATCTCATCATCGGATGGACGAGTGCCAACAATCTCTAGAAAACTGCTCATTCTTCGTCATTTTAGTACTGTTTATAGAAGACGACCGTGATCAAGATGAAGCTGGTTGATATAAGAATTTCTATTTCGGTTATAAACGCCAGCTTTCTATCCTCGGTAGCACCAACAGTTTTCTTTCACTCAATAAGTATGTTAAAATTGTCCACGAAAACAGACACTAGTCCGTGTTTCCTATAAGGATGAGACTATAGTAACGGCTTAGAATAATTGCAATTCAAACAATATGAGGCATATTTATATTTTTGAGTTCAGCAAAATTGCAAGTCTTGTCGCTGGTCCTAATGCAAAGCTAATATTGCGAAAATCTCTTTGGTTTGTTTAAGGAAGTCTAGACCTGTATTTCCTTACAAAATACCGCAAGGTCCTCGTCATCTAGATCAAATTCTTTTTTCGCAAATATTCAATTAGTTTCTCGGTGTCATAATTTAAATTATATTTGCCGTCTCATGAACAGGATCTTCGTCAGAGGAAACACTTGATGGTGAGAATGGTTCTAAAAACCTTTTTTTAAAAAAAAGGTTCTATTACTTTGCCTAGATTTATAATCAAAGAGGAATCTACAAGGCGATTAGCTTTATTAGTTATCATGACAAGCTATTGTGCCTAGACTATTTGTAAGTACTGTGGAACCTATTGTTGCAAGCCACAGTTCATACACGTGCAAATTTTGTGGTCAACAAATCTAAAAAACATTATTGAATATGTGCAATTTCTAACTGCAAATTGTCTAATATTCCCTCCAAGTTCGCGGTGTGCATTGCTACACTATGATGCATTTCATTAAAGATTTCTTTCATCATGATTCTATTGAAGACTTCTTTAAGCGAGTCCAGGAGGTTAAGGAAATATCCAATTGATCAGATCCTGAATAAATGATACATTATGCAGTATATGCTATTTTTCTATACTCTATGCATCCCGATTTTACTTGTGGAATGATAAGGTGATGAGGCTTCACTTTTCTGATCAGATCCTCTCCTATTCATGCTCTGAATAATATATGACGTTGATTGATTTTATTTTGGAGCGTTGTGATTATTCCTCTGATTGTTTTGAATTCACTGGCAGTTTGTTTAGAATTATTATGGTAAGTCCTCAGGACCTGTTTTATTTCGTTATGTTTTTGTGGTTACATTATTGACCTTGGTAAAAATATTCTGTGCATAATTGGCATCACGAGAATTCAGATCGGTTCTGGTCTTCAATTATTTTGTAACTTAGCCGTGTTAGTTATACATCACCACTTTTTTTCGTTTAAAATTAAAATTAAATATATTCAGCGAACCCTCTCTAAATGCACTCCCCTCGGGACCATAGAAATTTTTTAAAAAATGTGCATTTAAAGAGTGCATTTAGGGAGGGTTCTCTATATATACTGTATATAATATACAGTATGTCTCAATAAATTTATCAGTATTCGGATTTGTGTGCAACTCCTATTACCCTTTTCTTCTTTCTCAAGTAATCACCCTGATGCAATGAATTTATAAATGCCTATTTAGACAAATACGAATTTTATTAAGAAAAACCTATCATATAACTTTAATTTATTTTTTCGACCATAATTACAAAACTCATTCTGTCATATCAAATAACCTTTTAGTTTTAA